CTGTAATTGCCAGCAAAGGGTTTCAATCATGTATTAGAAATTAACATTTTATTTTCACCTATTTAATTTGTCCAATTACTTTTGAGTCCCTTCAGCTGCATCTGAGTTGTTTCATTTGAAGAACCAAAATGAGAAAATAGTTGTATCTGTCCAAATATTTATGGGCTGACCTGTATCTTCTGTTGGGTTTATGGAAATTTTCATTGCAGTAGATTTATTCACTTGCGGTCAAGTTTTCGTAGTGTACTTCTACATCTACTTCTTCATAGACGTTACTGGTGCTTTGGTCATTGGAGGTCACCACACCTTGATTTTTATAAATCTAAAAAAGAATCAAGACACATTAAACAGAACAAATGAATGACACGTGTCGCAGAGAATTGAGTTGTGGACACATTTAGAAATGTTCTACAATTACTCTAAAGCCAGTAGAAGTATTTCCTTATGGTTGTACACCTTAACAGTGAGTCAAGTTGTAGTGTAGACGTAGGGGTGGGTTTTGATTATAATTTTTCCAATTAAAGTTGATTCTAGCTTGAATAACGCGATATTGATTCATTAAAATCCTGAATCGATTTTTAAGTATAAATTTATTTTGCCCGAAACGCCAGAATCTCAGGTTGAACCTCAGAAAAGTTTCGACAACCACCAAACAGCTAAAACAGTAAATGAGAGCAGGTACACAGATTCTGCACAAAGACGTTAAGGACCCGCCGACGCATCAGAATCAGTGAGATGTCGGCTTTCTCACCCAATGGCACGTACATGCTGCTGAAAGCCGACAGCTCACTGATTCCGATGCGTCGGGTCTGCGCTTTGTGTTTATGTCTTTTTTTGTGCTACATTCTGAAACTGCAGGTTTTTGTCTCTCTCCAACCAAAATTGACAGAACCAGGAGCAAAAGAAGATGCAAACTGGCTTCAGATTTTCGCTTCACATGAACGTCATGAATTCCCTCTTACTTTGTCTCCACCACGATAAAATCACACTTCAAGCACAGCTCTCTCTCTCTCTCTCAGTATATTTCAAGAACAGTTTCCCATCTCAAATATCTGCTTTTTGCATTATTTGCTTGCTTATTACCCACCGTTGTGTACAGTGCTGTCGGCTGCTGTTTTTTTATTTATTTATTTTTCTAACTTAAATTACTTCTGACAAAAAAGCCTCACTTCTGGTGGTCAATACTGAAGAAATGTAAACTTTTTCAAATTATGCAAAATTGAAAAATACTTAGCTGTGTCTCTAATAGAGCCTCTGTAACTTTGCTCTGCTTCACTTAATGTTCAAGGTAATGTTCATATGTTGAGTCATGGTTTTCTTCAGTTTTTGTTCTACTGCAGAATATTTTTAAGGTTATCTGCTATAAAAAGCCAGGCCAGGAAAATCTCCTTCAAGGTTTTCTGTGTTTTATCCTCAGTTACTTTGACACAAAGGCATCTGCTGTGATGCTTACACCTTTGATAAAGTTTCACAAGTGTCAATTTTATTTTTATAGATATAAAAATATGGATATGTACTGATAAGTGATCAGAATTATAATATTTCTGACTGAGGCAAAATTTCCCATCGAATTGAATCGTGGATCAAATCGAATCATGGATCAAATCGAATCGTGGATCAAATCAAATAAGGACCTTATGAATTGGAATCGAATCGATTCTAGAAATCAGTGACGATACCCAGCCCTATGTACACATCTGTCGTTGAGATTGTTTCTTTCCTACCTCTCCCAGGCTTGTTCCTTAATGTGTCACTTTCATTGAATTTATTGATCTCACTCCAGTTCTTGACATTTTGAAATCCTGTAATAACTTTCCACATCTAAAAGTATTTTTCTCAAGTCTAAACAGATTTGCTGAAGTTTTTGAACTGTTTGTAAACTGGAACATAACCCAGAGTTTTAACCACATCCTTGCATAGCAGCAGTTCTATGGCTGAATGAAAAAGGTCAGTTTTTAATAGGGCTTATTATACTGACTATGATAGTCACAATTGTTGTCTTGTGTGGAAAAATATGCCACCCAGTGGACACTACAATTCAATGGTCACATGAAGACTTTACACTTTAGTTTTCTTACTTCACTTTGTGCTGCACCAATCACCTTCTTTGAACTCTTTTTCCTAGATGCATTTCTCCGCAGGGAGAGAACAGCTTCTGAAAACACACAACATTAAATATGGTTATGCTGTATTTGCATGCACATTTGAGTGTAAGGGTCTCTCTGTGCATATGAATGTAAAAGATACCTTCAATCCTGGAACGTCTGTACTTATAAACAAGAACGAGGATACATATCAAAAGCAGTACAGGGGGTATCACATAGAGTGCTGAAAAACAAACAAACAAAAACTATTGTTCTCATAACACAGAAGTATACGTTAACAGTCATACATATATAATATATCTTTAAGTTATTTACCTGTGCTTGTTTTCCCCAGAGTGCTCTGTGGAAAGACTGCAAGCGAAAATAACTATAAGTACTCTTAGCAACGTTATATTAACACAGACTTTAATACAATGGTTTTAGAGTACCTCCGAGGAGGACTAAAAGACTCCAAGTCTCTTTTATCCCTACTGCGTCTTGTCTCCTTAATGTCAAATAAATGTCCTTGAACTTTCTATCATTATTATTGTTATTATTTGTTTATAGTATTGTTCTGTTTATTTTTATCCTCCTGCTGCTAAACTAATTTCCCCTTGTGGGACAATAAAGAAATTGAATTGAATTTAATTGAATTGAATTGAATGGCAGGAGATGATAAACTAAAAATGTATCACGTGCCGCTCACTCTTTCCTTCCTGTCTCATTATGTAGAAAGAATTTCATTATTATCTTTAGTATGTAGCAGGTCAAATCTACTTATAACATATGAAATATAGACTGGGGAAAATAGTTATTTGATCCTCTGCAATATCCAAATGAACAGAATCAACTTTTTGGGATATGGATTCAATTGTTTCGTATTCCGAGGTAAGCTTAGGTAGCATGTGGGGATCTAGCCTGGGGACTAGGGATGGGTATCGTTTAGGTTTTATCCGGTACCGGTGCCAAATCGGTACTTTTGAAACGGTGCCAGTGCTCAAACGGTGCTCAAACCGATGCTTAAAGAATGGAGAACACAAACTCTGTCCAAAAACCTCTCATGTTCAGCTGGTTTTTTGTAAAAAGATAACAATGTTAGCCTTTTCTGCAGCTATGGGGCATATATGGTATCACTCTTGGCTGGAAGCAGTGCTTAAACAATGGAAAACACACAAACTTTATCCAAAAACCTCTCATGTTTAGCCGTTTCCCTCTTTTTCTTTGGTCATTTTAGCCTTTTTGGCCAGGGTGAAGGGAGTATCTGCCATCAAACAAGAAGACAGCCGCATGTAGCTATGATGATGTTTGCTAGTTCACCTTACCTGCATTAATGTAATAACGTGGTTAGCCTACTCAACGTAAATTACATACGAACAACATTAAGCTGCTCACGCAGAGAAGAACGGCTGCTGCTGCATCATCATCCGTCATCATTTCTGCTACACTGGCAGGGCTAGGGGCCAGGACTCTCCTCTTCGTGTTTTTGGGGATGTTGCTAACTCCGGGTCTGATAACAGGCACCACACCCGCAGTAGATACGCTCGGTGTGAGGTCTCGCAGCAAGCTATCAAATACAGCGCATTTCTCGGCTTTTAAAAAAAAGCCCGCTACGCGTCGCCAGGTATTTCATCGGATTTGAGGTGTTACCTCCTTTGACAGTATCACAATATCAGCTTAAAGCACTTGTTGCAGGCTGCTGAGTTTGCATATTTTGCTGTGAAGTACAGCCAGACTTTTGACCGCTTCGCCTTGGGCATTTTTAATCTGTAGCTCTGCTCTAAAAGAACGTACGTACCTGGACCCGCCTACTATCCTCGGAAACGTAAAATGATTGGCTAGAAGTGTATCACAGCTAAGGAAAAAAAAAGCACCGAAATAAAGCACCGAAATGTGCGCTGCTTTTCGGTCTGGTTACTATCGTTTATGTCAGAACGGACACCGGTACCCATCCCTACTGGGGACCCTTACTAGATACATGCCCTTGTGAGGATAAAAGCAATAACTGCAAAAGAAGTCTGCAACATTTTTCGCTCACAGTTTAAAGTAAATAAATAAATAACCCAAAACCTTGCAAATCCTGTTGGTGTAAATACTCTATTTTTCATTACTTTTGATGCTACCTTTCTTTACTCATCATTAAACAGAAACTATCAATTATTGAGCCAACCAAGCCCATACAATGAAAGCAGTTTGTCAAAGAAACTTATTGTACCGAACAACCTCTGCACTAATTAGTTGATTAACAATTCAGCATAACTGCTTAAAAACACAGCTACATACAGGTGAATGGTGTCATTACCATGATTTTTTTTAACGAGAGTAGTACAAAACTATAAAAAGTCCAATCACACAGGGTTTTTTGCCATGTAGGTGTTTTTAAACCAGATACACAAAGGAACTACTTATGCAAACAAGGACTCTGAGCACTCATTTATTAACAACCTGTGACTGACAGTTTGTTAGGAAATAACCACAATGTGGATAACCTTCTAGTCCTACTCTTATAATCAATGTTACACTAATACATCACCAGCAGGGGGCTCACTGTGACAGACTATCCAGCAATACGGCAGGTAAGGGAAGGAAATTGATTTTCTTGGCTTCTCTGAAGGATATCCGTCAAAGGCGAGTGCTGGGCTGTTTACACATTACACATTTCTGTGTATTATGGCCCTTTTACTTTTCACTGCTCTATTTTTCAATCCAAATGTCCTAAACTGACACTCTAACAAAGTAGGAAACAATTATTTGTTCCCCTGCTAAATTTGCTCACTTATAAAGAAATGAACAGTCTCCAATTGTTTAATAGTTCGATTTTAATTAACCAAAAATGCTAAAAAGACTAAGTCTGAGGTTAGGAAATTTAACTAAAAATCTAAATAAACATAATACAAAATCTTAAATTTTATATATGTATATATATTTATATATGTGCATATGTGTATATATATATATATATATATACAGCAATGACATTGGAATGTCGTTCGGACTGGAGAAGTGTAGTCGGATGGTAACAAAGAGAGGGAAGGTAGTCAGAACTGAGGGGATTGAACTACCAGAAGGCAACATTGCAGACATAGAGGACAGTTACAAGTACCTGGGGATCCCGCAGGCAAATGGGAACCAT